AAACCTCGAGTGAGAGGCAGTTAGCAAAAAGGTCAGAAGAGACTATGGATGTTAAATATCAAGTAATTTACTAGTCAAGTAGTTGATGGAATTTTCATCAACTACATGACTAGCAGATAAGCACTTCCACATTCCTCTTTTGAAAGGTACAAGAGCCCCCACTGGTAAAGCAGAACTCCACATGCAACCCGAGGATAGCAGAAAGTCCTGCTGAGTCCAGGCTGCATGCGGGTACCAGCTTTGAAATGTACAAGAGTCTCCGGATGATCCCGGGCTACATGCTGTGCTGCGGCTTTGAAGTGCCACGCAGCTGATCCTGGGCTCTGCGTAGCATTTCCCTAGAACCCGGGGTCAGCCGGGCTCCTCGCAAAACACTGCGGTGGCATTTCAAAGGGGCAGCACCACACAGAGCCCACGATCAGCTGCGCACTACTTCCCCTTTGAAACGCAGCGCCGCACGGAGCCCAGGTATGGCTAATAGAGGCAGCAAGGAGGGGGCAATCGATTAGACAACTCAACTATCGGATAAGCATTTGCGGATAGTCAACGAGTCCTTAACATCCTTAGAAGAGACCCTGTAGCAAATATTCTGTAGAGAAACTGCTGTAGCAAAACAATCTAACATTCTGTAGATATAAAAGCTTTGGTTTATGGACTAGAGAGGTGATAGTTTTACATGCTCTAGAGATCTGAACTATGTAAATTATTGCATAAGTCTGGACACTACAGCATTCAAGGAGTGTCTACCTGAACTGGAAGGAATTCCAGAAAGAGGAACAAAAGTGGTTAGGGACTAGATAGAAATATATAAAGGGAGAATAAAAACTACATACAGACTACATATTTAGGGTCTTTTCTAGGGTGTTCATCAACTCAGCATCTGAACACACCAACAGTTATCTTATTCTCAACAATGCTACTCCGGATTATAGTGATTTGAGGCAAAAGTGGATTATGTGTCTTGACCAAGGTGACAAGTCACAACTCCAAAGCTGACTGCTTGATTAAGATTTCCCTCTGCCTCTAAGAAATAAATTATCTAATTGGGTCAAATAAATAAATAAATTCAAGTACATATAATACATGAGGCATCATGGCAAGGAGCTGAACATCAGGGCATTCCGGATTATAGTGATTTGAGGCAAAAGTGGATTATGTGTCTTGACCAAGGTGACAAGTCACAACTCCAAAGCTGACTGCTTGATTAAGATTTCCCTCTGCCTCTAAGAAATAAATTATCTAATTGGGTCAAATAAATAAATAAATTCAAGTACATATAATACATGAGGCATCATGGCAAGGAGCTGAACATCAGGGCATGTTTCCTGAAGAATGATAAGCTATTTTTCTGGGTAGAGATTAAGTTTGACTCAAGAAGTGGAACTTCAGCTATTTGACACCATCTAATGACAATTCAAATTTGCAGTGCAATCTCTTACTGGAAGGGAAGTTTGTCCGATGACAGCTTAGAGATCAAGTTTTCATAAGTGTATGTAATCTACTAATGCCAGGTGCCTAGTCATTTATAAGTCAATAGTCTTTTTTTTTTTTGTAAATTCACATTTTACCTTTGAGTAATCCCTTTCCCTGAACACGTAATGAGTTACTACTGTAACCCTTTAACCTACTTTAATGTTAAATGTAAATTGTTAATGCTCCCATTTTTTAAAATAAGCTCTTCCATATCAAAGGTGAAGGATCAAAACCAAGTCATTTGAACTCTTCAATATACAAACTTAAACTTCAACCGTGATATTTAGTTCATCTCTCATAATAAAAGGGTCTTTGTATTCTTCTCACTGACTTAATTCACACATTTTTTCATAACTTCTAATTGCATGTACTAATATATTTGATGTCAGATTTAACAGTCAATTAACAGGATTGTTTACCATTTCTCGACGTAAATCAAGTTTTCTTGTCATTTGGTCGAAAACGTGCATTGCCAATAAGACTCTCATAACTTCGCTTTTGTAGCAAGCTGTTAGATAATTGTTGGTATGACACCGGCCTTTTTCCTGATAAAAGAAATATTAAGAGGCATTAACAAGATTAGCTGTAAAACAAGACTCATACAATTTACTCAATGCCCTTTTCATTTAAGAGAGAAGTGATATTACAGTGCCTTTCACCCTGGCTGTGTCTACACTGCAGGGTTTTTGCACAAGAGATCTTCTGCAAAAACTTCTTGGGCAAAAGCGTGTCCAGACCTCAAAAATGCTTCGCAAAAGTGATGTGCTTTTGCACAAGAGTGTCCACGTGCACGGATGCTCTTGCGCAAACAAGTTCTGATGGCCATTAGCAGAATGGCCAGCTTTTTCTGATAGGATCTTTTTGCACAAGAAACTCTGCAGAGTGTCCACACCTGCTTTTTTGCACTACAGCTCTTGAGCAAAAAGGAGTTATTCCTCATGGGGAGAGGAATAACTACCAGCAAAAGCCCTCTGTCCTGTCAATTTACTGTATTTTTTTTTTGGTGCAAAAATGCACTTGGTGTGGATGATCCACTGGTTATTGCGCAAAAACCTTGTAGTATAGACAAAGCCCCAATGTTTCAGAAGTAATTTTCACAAACTACTTATATACAGGCCCGCCAATGGGGGGCATACTTGGGCAGTTGTCCTAGGGTCCAGAGATTTAAAAGGGCCCAGAGCCCAGGTGGAGCTGAGAGCTGGCTGGGGGCAGGCATGGCACAGTCCAGGCTGTCTTCTCCCCTAACCCCACCCCTTCCACCCAAGGCCTGGCCCCTTCTGAGGGCCCAGAGCCAAGCCCACTTCCCACCGCCCATATTGCCCAGTGTCTGGCAAAGTCTGTCCATACCCCTGCTTATAAGTACTGAAGTGTAGACAACTTGCGAGTGGAAGCCCGCAATCAGAAGAATGCACAGCACAACAATTTTAGAGAAAGATAAATGGCAGAACCATCACCCTAAACATGGGATATGGAATTTTAGGCATCCAAAAAACCTATAAGAATGTCACATATTAAGGCCTTATATGAAACACCACTCCCACATACTTTAAGTAAATGAAAAGCTGAAGGAACCTTTAAGTTTCTCTCCACAGAACAGCAACATACAAGTAGAATGTAATATAATCTGTACAAGTTCTTTCAAAACCGTTTTATTTCTTACTACAAGACAGTGTACTAGAAAGTGACTATTTCCACCCAACTGGAATCCACACTGCCTTATGTCTACCACAACTTTTATTGGACTTCCGGTGTAAGCTATTTTATGAATATCTTAAATTTAAATACAGTGGACGACTGAACAAGTCATCTGTCAAAATACCGTGGTACTTGGTACAGGATTTCAGCCTATTCTACATGCTTTATATGCATCTTTCAGAAGTATTTGATAAATTCGTGTACCAGAGTAACAGGCTGCATTTCAAGTTTAAGTTTCTTTTCAACATTACAGTACAGATTTATGGCAGGAGTTGGCAATCTAGGCTCATGAACCATATGGCTCTCTAGGGAGCCCCAACTTGGCCCCCCCCCTTGCTCCTCCCACAGCAGGGAGCCAGTGCTGGCACTGCAGCCTTATGGTCATCCAAGACTGAAATGCCAGCAGGGGGCAGAGGGAGAAAGCCCCAAGGCTCCCCACCAGCGTGCAGGGAACAAGCAAAGTTAAAAGGACTCCGCTGACAGTGTTTTCCTCTCCACCCTCCCCCCCCCCAAGGGGGGCTCTTCTCATCCTCTTCCCCCCTACCGGGAAAAACCAGGAACTGAAGATGGTTCCCTGCGTACTGCCTTGGGACTCGCTTCCTGCAGCCTCCCCAGCCAACTCTTCCCAGAAGCCACCTGCTAGCAAATGGGAGCAGCAGGGGGCGTATTACATGTTGCTTGCCGTGCAGCACAAAAACAAGTGGCCCCCACCTCTCCTGCCTCTCCCGCCCCTTCACTCACCCCCTGCCCTCTGCCTCCTGGCCAAAATCTCCCCTGCCCCCTGGCCAGGCCTTGCACCCACACCCTCACCCCCTCCCACTTAGATACCACACTCCCATCCCTATCCCGTTCACTGACAGCCCTGTCCCGCACACTTAATGCCTCATTTTTGGCCCCAACCCAGAGGCTGGGGAGCCCACAAAATCCAGTAACCCTGGAGACCCAGAAGAGTAAATTTGGCCTAAGGCCTTGAACATCAGTCCTCCCTGCCCCTCCACCCTCATGGGGCTGGAGCACTAGGGGAGTAACATGTTTCAGTTGGGGGCTACATGAGTGAGGGTTGGGGATTTTTGAAGGGGGTTTTTTTGCTTCTCACTTGTGTGGTCCCCGAGTGATTTTTCAGCCACTGACCCAAAAAAGGTTCCCCGCCCCTGCCATAAAGACAGACAGTGTTGAAACCTTTTGTTGTGGACATATTATTTTACTTTGTTTAAAAAAAAAAAAAAAACTTGGCCAACAAGCCCCAAATTGGGGCCCAATCCCTATCTGGCTACAGTATCTTAGCACTCCTGCACACTCACCCACACCAGTCCTGAGCCCATCATGCACCTGAACCCTGAGCCCCTCAAATTGCCACATCCCCAAACTCATGCAGCCTCACATTCTCGGTTCTCTGCCATAACTCCCGCCCCTCCACAAATCCCAACTTTGTGCCCTGAGCCCTTCACACACCCCAGTCTCCTGCCCTGAGCCCCTCATGCATCCCAACCCAGACTCCTGCATCTCCACATCACCAGCTTCCTGCCATAACACTGATAGAAGACAGCCTGAAGACCTGCAAGAATTCAAAGAACTGTGCAAAAAGATGCAGCAGCAAATGTCATATTAAATGAAGTCTGAGTAAGTTTAATTTGTGCTACAATTAATCATTATGTCAATTATCAATACTATTAAGTTGTATATTTTCAGTCATTCAAATGGACATTCTTATACTGCTCTTTGTTGACCACTTGTTCTGAATTTTTATGTAGTTTGGCTCTTTGGTTTGAAAAGGTTGTTGACTCCTGATTTATGGGTTGTTGTTTCTTTAAATCTGTGTGTGTGTTTATAATAAACACAATTTTGTAATGCTGTTTGGTATCTTCTTTGCACAATACACTCTTCCTAAGGAGGATACCAAAGTTAAATTGCTGTGTATATTCCATGAAAACCACAAATGCATTCTGAAAGAACCAGGAAGGCTTTAATTAAATTAAAATGGAAAAGCTAAATTAATATTTCAATATGATCTACAAAATTGATAGTGTCTGAGCAATTGTCTTTAATTTTCAGTCTCTGCCATATCAATCAGCCAACAGATTATACTTGATAGAGTGCTGCCAATGCAAATGACGACTAATTTTAGTGCAACACAAACAGTTGTTTCCGACTGTGCGTCTCTTCTGTGCAATGCAAACTAGAACAGTTTTTTTAATAATGACAGACAACATGGTTTAATCCAAGTTTGCCATGGTAGAACTCGAGATGTGAAGAACTGGTCAACTATTAGATAAGCAAATGCTTATCAGATAGTTGACAAAATTGTTGATTAGTCACCCCCCTCCCCATCAGAAAGAGGCAGCAAGGGGGGAGAAGAGGGAACTTCAAAGTGGTAGCACCCTGGGGAGACCACCCCAGCTGATCCTGGCACTCCAGCTTTGAAACGTCAGGAGGAGCCTGATATCAGGCTCCCAACACAGCATTTCAAAACAGCAGTGCCACCCAGAGCCTGGGATCAACTGGGGAGTTCCCAGTGGACCCCAGGCTCCACATGGAGCTTTTGCCTTTAAACAGCTGTAAGGCTGTTTCTACACTTCAAAGGCAGATGCGCCCTATCAAATAGTCCAGCCATGGCCAACCCGCGGCTCTTGCCCCCCAAAAGTGCAGCTTGCAAAGCCACTCCTGTGCTCCCTGCCCAAAAGGCCCCTGGCCCCTGCTGGCTTCCCCCCAGCTTCCCTGTACTTGCCAGGTTGGAGCTGAGGGGTTTTAAAAATGGTGCCCAAAATGGCAGCTGTCTTAAAGGGGCAGCCTTCCTTTTTTTTTTTTTAAGTAATTTTTTTTTGGTTTTGCTCAACAGTTCTGTTCTGGGAGAGCTTTTTATTGTGCGCTTGACAATTCTGGTGCTGCTCTTCGCATTTTTTCTGCCGTTGTTTTGGCTCTGTAAAATGGGTTGGCCACCCCTGAACTTGTCAAATAGTTGGTGCAAAATGCATCCACAATTAGATTAGTCAATTACCCACAATTTAACAACCCTAGGTGGAACATTCTAATGACAATCCAATACAGCATTTAACATAACATGTTCATAGGGCCTGAATAAGACAAGGCCGGAAAAAAGGGTTTATTATAATATCCTTATTTCTACCTGATATCAGAACTTACAGCTGTACACCCACAACTATTTGCATATGCAGTTATAAAACATATCCCTTAAGAGTTCTATATGTAGAACATAGAAATATGTAAGAAAGTTTCTCAAAAACCCAAACAAATCCATCTGAATTTACATACATACATATATAGAAATAAAATGACAGTTCGCAAGAGGTTTAATTATTTTAAAATGTTCTCAATGTACTGGCCTAGAAAGTCTACCTTTGGTTTTTATCTAGGTACTTATAAAGCCTTCTTCAGTGTAGTATCTAATTGAGGCCTTTTAACCAATTACTGGAAAAAAGGCTGGTGTTTTAGGTAATAAAGCAGAACTTACTCGATGAAGTTTGACTTCTCATCTGAAAGCTACAGACCACCTGTAGTACTGTTACTATGGACATTATAGCATCTGAAGGAAGTTCTACTTATGAAATCTGAATTTGTGGACAAAATAGCACACACAGCACACACACTGAAGTAAGTGGTGATTTTATAAAGATCTGGCATAGGAACAGTCTCTGTTTATGGGAGTGTTTAAAAAGCATAGGAAGACTGACAATACAAGTGAACTCCAATATAGGCATTATAGGAATCCAAATAGAAAGTCTAATGCATTGCTGCTTCTGAAATTCATTTCCACAAAAGGGGTTCATTGCTTTCCCACTCTGCTAGCTCCCAGTGTACCAAGCCCTCACATCCCTTTACTTCAGGGATTCCCTGCAACGCCCTCATTTCCCCCTCTGGCTGTGTCTCTATTCCTTTCTACTACACTATTGTACTCCATTCTGCCATTTGGTTTCCCTTCCCATCCTCCATTCCGTGTCACTATTCTTATTACTGTTCTCAGACAGAATACAGAACTTAAGTTTGAGGGTATGTTCTTCTTCCACTGTTTTCGATTTTCTTGCAGAAGAACGCAATTGCAGAGGGTTTTTTCCAGCATTGCTAATCCTCATTCTACGAGGAAAAAGCCTTTTTGCGAAATAGCTCTTTCACAAAAATGCGTGTATGGACAGGGAAGAGGGAGTTCTTTTGGAAGAAGGAGAAAGAGGAAAAGGCACAGGTGCCCTGGTGGCCATTCTGCCCATAGCAATCACAGCTTACATGCGAGAGAGTATCCATTCAGTCTGGATGCTCTCTTCTGAAAAAGTAAATCGCTTTTTCAATACACTTCTGCAGTGTGGATGCGCTCTTTCGGAAGATCTCTTCCAATAAAACTTCTCCCGAAAGAAGCCTATAGTCTAGATGTAGCCTGAGAGGATAGGTAGGCTTGAGATGGGTGACAGTGTTATGTTAATTGCTTTCTTCTACTGAGTATCCATTCAGTCTGGATGCTCTCTTCTGAAAAAGTAAATCGCTTTTTCAATACACTTCTGCAGTGTGGATGCGCTCTTTCGGAAGATCTCTTCCAATAAAACTTCTCCCGAAAGAAGCCTATAGTCTAGATGTAGCCTGAGAGGATAGGTAGGCTTGAGATGGGTGACAGTGTTATGTTAATTGCTTTCTTCTACTGACATTTACCAAGGTAGGGGCTCCATGTGTTTTACCAAAAGCAATAGGGTTCTACTCAATGCCTAGAACATTGCTTGAAGTTTTGGGACTGACTATTGCATGCTTTGCTCAGCAAATAATGGCTGTTGTGGATTGAAGGACAGACCATTTTCTGAGCATGTAAATTGCACGTTACTCACAATTAGCAATGTAACCAAAATATGAAAGGCTAAAACCATTTCTAAGTATATAAATTTGGCTAGTCAATAGATGTGTATCAAGCTATCAGCCTTGTGGTTGAAGACCTCACAGGCTCTAGTACTGCAGCCAATCCTTTCTTGTGCTTTACTGAATATACATAATGGTAGCACAATACCTACATCAAATTAAGGTTTAATTGCTTTCTAAAAGTAAACTCCCACATTAAAAAGCTTTAGTAGTTAAAATTAAGATTTTATCAATAGCTTCTGCTAAGTCAGGTTACTTATATTTCAATATTTCTCTTTTCAAAAAGAGACTTATTTCCTTTTAATTTCCTTTATTTTTATTTATATAACATATATCCATCCAACCCAGAGACAACTCGTACTCAATTCACTGTATTTCATACATCTCCAAAGCAAATGACATACCTTAGCAGCCAATATTAATGCATTTGAGGTCCAGGCTATGCCTTAAAAAAATCAGGTTAACTTAGCTATATTGTTCAGGGCTGTGAAAAACTTCATGCCCTGTACACCAGAGTCAGGTCAACGTAATCAAAAAATCCCTGTGTCAACCTGGCTACTACTTCAAGGATATGGATTAACTATGTTGATGGAAAAACCCCTTTATGCCTGGGCATGTCTACAGTATATCACAAACACTTTAGCTGTGCTGCTGTATCATACAAATGGCCGAGGACATAGCCCACGTAACTAGAAACCACAAATTTAATTTCAAACTCTCAGAAATCAATCAGCTACTGCATTCCACCTCATTCATCAGGTAAGAAATAAAGCTGTCCCATATTTCCACTAGTGGAGATTAGGTTTACACATCTCCACCCAAAACATGCTCACCAACACCCTTTCAACTCCCATATGCAGGTCTAATCTGTTTGCCATCACCACATGTCCTATAGCTCAAACTAATTTAGCACAAGTGATTACCAACCACTATAAATATATTATCTTATTTCCACAAACAACAAGTTGATGACAAATCTTAGCCCGAATGCTTCAACACAGAGCATAGTGGCTAACTTATGGGGCATAGTTAAAGTTATGAAATTCTTTTGATGTGTACAACATTTTAAGATAGCTTTAGTAAAAAGTAATTGGCATACAAAAGCAGCAAAGATGCATCTTTCAAACTACCTTAGACTATAAATATCAAGCCACTGAATTCTACAGAAGGGGCTCCATGTGTTTTACCAAAAGCAATAGGGTTCTACTCAATGCCTAGAACATTGCTTGAAGTTTTGGGACTGACTATTGCATGCTTTGTTCAGCAAATAATGGCTGTTGTGGATTGAAGGACAGACCATTTTCTGAGCATGTAAATTGCACGTTACTCACAATTAGCAATGTAACCAAAATATGAAAGGCTAAAACCATTTCTAAGTATATAAATTTGGCTAGTCAATAGATGTGTATCAAGCTATCAGCCTTGTGGTTGAAGACCTCACAGGCTCTAGTACTGCAGCCAATCCTTTCTTGTGCTTTACTGAATATACATAATGGTAGCACAATACCTACATCAAATTAAGGTTTAATTGCTTTCTAAAAGTAAACTCCCACATTAAAAAGCTTTAGTAGTTAAAATTAAGATTTTATCAATAGCTTCTGCTAAGTCAGGTTACTTATATTTCAATATTTCTCTTTTCAAAAAGAGACTTATTTCCTTTTAATTTCCTTTATTTTTATTTATATAACATATATCCATCCAACCCAGAGACAACTCGTACTCAATTCACTGTATTTCATACATCTCCAAAGCAAATGACATACCTTAGCAGCCAATATTAATGCATTTGAGGTCCAGGCTATGCCTTAAAAAAATCAGGTTAACTTAGCTATATTGTTCAGGGCTGTGAAAAACTTCATGCCCTGTACACCAGAGTCAGGTCAACGTAATCAAAAAATCCCTGTGTCAACCTGGCTACTACTTCAAGGATATGGATTAACTATGTTGATGGAAAAACCCCTTTATGCCTGGGCATGTCTACAGTATATCACAAACACTTTAGCTGTGCTGCTGTATCATACAAATGGCCGAGGACATAGCCCACGTAACTAGAAACCACAAATTTAATTTCAAACTCTCAGAAATCAATCAGCTACTGCATTCCACCTCATTCATCAGGTAAGAAATAAAGCTATCCCATATTTCCACTAGTGGAGATTAGGTTTACACATCTCCACCCAAAACATGCTCACCAACACCCTTTCAACTCCCATATGCAGGTCTAATCTGTTTGCCATCACCACATGTCCTATAGCTCAAACTAATTTAGCACAAGTGATTACCAACCACTATAAATATATTATCTTATTTCCACAAACAACAAGTTGATGACAAATCTTAGCCCGAATGCTTCAACACAGAGCATAGTGGCTAACTTATGGGGCATAGTTAAAGTTATGAAATTCTTTTGATGTGTACAACATTTTAAGATAGCTTTAGTAAAAAGTAATTGGCATACAAAAGCAGCAAAGATGCATCTTTCAAACTACCTTAGACTATAAATATCAAGCCACTGAATTCTACAGAGTAAGGCACTAAAGTTAAAATGCTTATGTTAGACTGGAGTACAAGAATACAAAAAAAAGTGAAGACAGAAATACCAAGATCAAAGTTCTCACCCTTCCTCCCTCCCCGCTTCCCCCCCCCCCCCCCCCATTGACCTTAGAGGAAGCTCTCAGATGTTCAGCATTTTGTAAAATCAGGGAGATGCTTAAAAATGGATTCATGCATTTAGATGCCTGGTTTTAAACATTTTAGCTAAGAGTGATATAAGATACCAAATGAAGTTCCAATAGTATTAACATTTTACTGTAGATTAGTGAGACTTTTCGATTTAAATATTAAACAAACAGCCCATTTCCAATTAAGTCTTTCAGCTTCTATACTAGAAATACAAACCCATGCAGGGGTGGCCAACCTGTGGCTCTTGACCCGCATAAAGCTCTTTGCTCACAGAAACGTGGCTCGCAGGGTTACAGCTCCTTTGGAGCCACATGCCCACTTTGTGCCCGTGCCCTAGTGCCTAGAGGGAGAAGTGCGTGGCTGTGGCAGCTCCAGTGGGACCCAGGAATTGGGTTAGAATGGGAGGAACCTGGGGGTGCCTGGCTCTGGGGGAGGGCTCTTTGCACTACTATCCACAGCTCTTTTGGCTCTTAGTGTCTAACTGGTTGGCCACCCCTGCGCTAGCCCATGGCAATGTACACTGGGAGTATTAACAGTAGTACATATTTGACGTCAGAATCACATTAACACTTAACATTTTAGAAAACTTCAGCTTCCTACATTAGAGGTTTTTTACTACGTACATGAAGCAACAAGAAGCTACACTGATTGAACTGAAAATCTAAATCCCTGCTGTGACCATAAATTCACAATATGTCATTGAATACTGTAATAAAAGGCTAACAAACCAGTTTGCATGACTAGTAATCTACTGGAGCTGAAATAGTTTTGTGCATTTAAATACTGATTTGAATAATTTCCCTTCGAATTAGGAGCAAAAATGTTAAATTTTAGAAGTTATAGTGGTGTATAAATAATGAAAATACAGTACCTTCTATTGAAGAGCTGGTTGCTTGGCCATTGCTAGGTCCAAAAGAACCATAAATTGGTCCAGGGCTATACGGCTCATACGTTTTCAGAATAGTCAGTACGTTACGAGAATCAACTTCATCTGAATTCAGAAGCCCTTTTTTGGTTGGCAAAACATAGGATGCAGGTTTGGCATGTGAACATTCCTGAGGTAACAGGTTTGCATATCTGTTTGCAACACGAGGTCGGCTCATGTCATACCTTCTGTAATTAACCCTTGCAGAGTCCATGTATTCAAGGGCTAACAGATTAGGTTTCATTCTTTTAGAAGATGGTTCACCAAATTCTAAGTTTGTGTGACCCACAGATCTATTGCAGAGATATTCTTTTCCTCGATTACTGAACCAGGTAGCTTCATTAAGGGGAGAATCATAGGAATTATTGACGTTACTACTGACTATGCCATATTGAGAAGCTGATATATTTAGAGTTTTTGCTTTTGGTTCAGCTCTTTTTACTCTATCCATTACGGAAGAAATATTAGGATTTGAATGTGTATCTTGCTGTGGCTGCCGACAACTATTTGCCTGCGCTCCAATGTTTTGTGGTTTGTAAGACTTCAGGTTACTTAGTGCTGAACTGCTGGACTCTACCATTGAAAAAACAGAGACTTTGCTCTGTAGAGGGGGACAATGTTTAGTCTTCTCTGTATGAAGCTGTTTCTGTTGTGTAGACAGGGAAGCCTTGCTTTTATTAGGGTTAAGAGACAGGGGAAGCACATCTTTACCAAGAAGAGCTGGTGGGCATCCAGTACGCCTGGCCTTAGCCAAAGCCTTGTTTCTATAACCATTTTTGTTAACGGTATCAGTATTATATTTATGCATCAGCCTCTGGTGTATCATTAAGACTTCTGGATAAAATGTTCTATAAGTACAAAATGGGCAGGTGCTAGGTGCTAACAAGCCTCTAGTAGCTGAGATCACTGAACATTCTTGCACCGTCCCAGTAGATAAATTTAAGGGCTTTTCTTCTGAAACAACTAAATGTTTGTTTGCGCATTTTTCAGTGCTCTCTCTCATTTCTTCCACATTATTTATATCCTTTAAGGCACCAGTGAACTCGGTATCATCTCCTTCCAGTTTCACTGATGCACCTTTCTTTTTTTGATCAGTAGGATCATTTGCCTGAGATTCCACTGCTTCTTCCTCTGCTTTTAGCTTTGACAGGTAAGGAGCATCTGAGTTCGGATTCATCTGATTTGAGCCATTACAAACTTCATCCTTCTTTGTGTCCTGAATATCATTTTTCGTGGTCAAGAGGACTTGACCAGCCAATATGCTCTGAAAGGAAGAAAATATCTCTTTTTGTTGCTTTGCAGGTGGGCAGCCCTTTTCATCTTTGGCACCATCAATAAACCTTCTGAAGTTTTTGATTTCTTGAGCACCAACAGCTACTGGCAGGAGGTCTGTCTCCTGACTTTGTAACAAAATTTTGCTGTCACTTTTCACATCTGTTGTGATATCAGCCTGCTTCTCCTTGTGATGCCTTTCTAAATGATACCTCAATGATGTTTTCTGTGCTGCTGCATATTCACAAAATTCACATTTGTATGGTTTTTCACCTGAAACAGTTTAATCAGAGAATAAATTTGACACATTGATTTAAAGTCTTCAACAGAATTAAATGATTCCGTGGTTTTTAAAATTCACAAGACTAAGATAATAATAAGTGGTATTCTCTTCTCCTTCCCCTGCTCCATATACACACTTCTCATGCAGGCCCCAAGTTGATCCATGTGCCCTAAGAACTATAGTGGGTTTTTTGTATGTGTATGCAAGTATGTATGGTGGTTGCTACAGTAACATCATCTTGGTAGGATAAGAGTTTTTCCCCTACATGTTCAGAAGGTGTAAGGATGGTAGTTTGCAAACTATTGAGCACAGATAAAGGAAGTAGGTAGAATTAGGAGGACCTTGGTGGATCAATTTGTCACATCTATAAACAGTCATTGGAGGGAGAGGGAAGGACACGGGGGTCATTTAAATACACTGACAGTTTCTTTGGAGGGACATTGCACAAGGTATAGAAAACAGGGACAAGTCTGATACTGCAGCAATGGCACACACTCACACTTGGGAGACCTATTCTGTTTTTTTCAAACGCCTGTGATAATCAGGTAGGGTTAAGCAAAGGTGAAAGGTAGGATACAACAGTCACAAATCAAAATGTAGCAGAAACATAAGTCTAGTGTAATATTAAGTATACTGTAAATTAGATTTGAAATTAAAACACCTTATATTGTCTTTGCAGTTCAGTTACAACACTGGATATTTTAGATTTTAATTTCAGCAGTTTTGTAGACCATTTTAATTTGTTTTTAACAAGAATCTAAAATTCCCACTAATCTGGATTAAACCAATCTTCTGAAACAATGAAATCCTTTACCTGTATGAGTTCGGAGATGAATATTGAGGTAATAATTTGAGCGGAAATATTTTCCACAATAGCTGCATTCTCTGGAGGCCCCAAGGTTTTTAACTTTTGCTCTTTCCAAGCCATCTTCATTTTTATCTTTGTAAGAAAAAAACAAAACATGCAAACCTATATTATGAGGAATAAAAGCGCTTTTTGGCTGCACGGGTGTCAACTTTAAAAGTGCAAGTGTCTGCTACAGATCACCTTCTCCCAATTTAATTAAGGGATACTAACTCAATATAGATCTACAAAAACCCCTCTGATCTACATTGCTACCCACTCCTGCTGGGAAGAGACTACCATGTATATCAAATAGTATTGTTGCTTGTTACTGATGAAGGATTCATTGGGATTGAAACAAAATCAAAGCTAGTCCCTTAGGACTTTAACAAATACACTTCATTAACTTTAACCACTTAAGCCTCTCTCCATTCTGTTTGATGTATTTTATAAATCCTTTATGGGACACAAGCAGACCAAATGTTTTCTTTAAGATAGGAATTTAAACTAGAAGAGATCTGATACAGGCTTAAAGTACACTACTGCAAAAATTAGTACTAATCAGTGGAATATCCTACCTGTGAGAAACCATTTTAATCTCAACAGGCCTTTATAAAATGGCCCTAGGTTTTGTCCATGAGAACTATTAATATTGAAGTTGAGATCTGTCAAACATGGCAAGGTAGGGAAGTGACACTACTAGTGTTTCACATAATTTAATATTTTTTCAAGTTCCTAGTTAGAGAAGCATGGGTCCCTAACTGTAAGCACTAGCAGTTACCACTAGAGGGTAGCAAGTGCAGTATAATGTCTAAAAAGGTAAAGGGGAAGTTTTATTCAGGAAAGTCAAAGTGAACAAAAAGTTTTTCAAACAGGCTGCCCTAGGAATACTGTGGAGGAGACCAAGATAACTTAAGTAACAGTTCGAGTCAAAATGGACTAGAAAGGATTTTGTATTTAATGTATTTGTTTTAAAGTCAATTCGTTTTTTTACATGGTTAGTCACCTATCTTTCCTCAGTGGCTTAAAAATGGCTCAAACTTGTTCTGCTGGAAATTAATAATAATAATAATAATAATAATAATAATAATAAATGAATAAGTTTAAAAAACAATACGTTTGAATAAGCGTGTTTTTGAAACTACCAGCAAAAAGATTTCTTCTAAAACATATGCATTGTAACTATGATTCAGGATCTCATGATAAATTTAATTCAGGGAGATAAAAGCAACTGAGAAGAATCAACAAGTAGTACATTTAGCATTTCTTAATTCAATCAGTATCATAGCGGCCAAATTAAGAATTGTACGTAGCTAAAATTGGAAAAATGCAATCATGTGCCAGGACATTCTGTACATTGTGTCTTTAGGTTATGCAAGTATCTTCTCTTTAAATGCATACACGGAAAGTGTGTAACATGTAAGACAAAGGTGCAAGGTCTGTTAGAAACTCCAACCAGTTAAAATGCCATCTTGCTTCTTTTTGTTTGTTTGTTTTTTTTTGGAAGCCTAGTCCCCTGTAATTGTTCATTCTGATTCTTGCACGAACGATTAACAACTTTAAATCACAGCAGTAATGGTTTGATCCTGACTGCTCTTGCCAAGAAAACTGTATTATGAGTTTTCTTCCAAATATTGTATTTCAGCATACCTGTTGAACAGTCAAGGTACATGCCAACCTTTTCTCTTTCTGGTAATTTAAGGCAGTTGTTCCCTAATATTGAATTTCTCTAACTTCACTTCATTCAAGGAAATACACTACATACAAGACCGATGAGTTTAGACTTAATTCTTCAGTTTGCAAAGTTCTAATATCTGCAGATACTAAACACTATACTGTTCTGCCTGCTTCCACAATAAAAGATAGTAGCTGAAGAGTAACTTTAATTTTATAATATTATTTCAGCTTATGCAAGGCCATATGCAGGGAGGGGAAGAAAGCAGGAAAAACTTGAAATATATTAATCCATACAATAATTTAATTGGCATCAGAGACTGCGTGAAAAATCTAACATTGACAGAAGCATTGGTTATTGAGGAAGAGGCAGCAGTGGAAATAGGAAGCACACTCTTTTGGAGATTTGGAAGGTGACCAGGAGTCCATTTGAAACTGAAGACAAAGAAGAACGAACAAAGAAACAAATCAGAGGAGCTATGTCATGGACAGAGTCTAGTATAGACCACTAAATCAGTAGTAGTAGTAGTAGTAGTAGTAGGAGGAGGAGGAGGAGGAGGAGGAGGAGATATTTCTTAGAACAAACATCCAAAAAACAAAGGGATAGTAAGGGAAGACCTACTTCGCAGAAATGAGTTGGAAAAGCAATAGGTCTAAACACAAAATGCCCAGTATAATCTTAAAAGATGGAAGTAGTAAATATTAAGTAGACAATGCTGACTAGCAAGGAAGTACTACTATAAAGTTGAAAGGTAGAATGCAATTTGACTGAAAGTGATTATGAAATGATGAATTCTAAGGAAAGGAAGAGGTGAGAACACCAAAATAAGGACAAAGCATTTAAACACAACTATCAAGCCCAGAAAACTGGTTTATAAGGTCCCATTGGAAGAAAATCTAAGGGGGAAATCTAGCTTTCGAAGACACACACCAAAGCAAATTATCCCACTATGAAGGAAAGAGGCCAATAAGAGTGCAATAGGAGCTTTAAAAAAAATCCAAAGCCAATTGTTAAGGATGCGTACAAAAGAATAATAGAAGCACTTAGGGATACAATCAGAAAGATCAAGACACAATGTAAGTTACACCTACCAAGAGACATGACAAGCAATAAGAAATACTACACACAAAACAAGAGCAAGCAACAGGTTAAAGAATACTGCCTTAAATGCATTCCAGCTGAGAAGCCTAATTAAATATACCTTTGAGTATGTCAGTAGCTACCTGAAGGAATCCTGCTACCATTACCAGTTACTTTAAGAACTCACAGAGGACATTTAGGGATGTGAAGGACTAGTTGACTAGTCAATGTTTATCGGTTGTCAACAAGCTTGTCGACTAGTTGCTTCCAGTCCCCTTTGCTGCCTCTATCAACAAGAGGCAGCAGGGGGGGGCTCCATGTGGCGCTGCTGCTTTGAAATGCCACCATGGAAGCCCAGCATCTGGCTCCTCCCATCATTTCAAAGCAGCAGCACCACATAGAGCCTGGGGTCAGTGGGGAATCCCACTTTGAAATGCCACAAGGAGCCTGACTCCCAGCTCTCACAGCAGCATTTCAAAGCAGCAGTGCCACATGGAGCTCAGTGCCACGTGGCACTTTCACCTTTAAACAGTAGCAACAGCCCTAGGACTGTTCGTATGCTTGAAAGGTGGAGATGCCCTATCGACTAGTTGAATAGACGATGCAAAATGCATTGACTAACGATCAGTTACCTGCAATTTAACATCCCTAAGCACAGGTGATATCCTATAGGACTGAAGAATGGTAAACATAGCACCTATCTTTAAAGTGAGTAACAGAGCCCAGTCAAGCCTGCTTTCAAAACCAGAAAAGATACTGGAACTAATTAAACAAAATAAATCAATTACAGTAAAACTCCAATGGTCTGGCACTCCTGATGGTCTGGCACCATCAGGAACCCGGAAGTGCTCCAGGCAGCCGGACCATTGGAGCTGCTCTGCCCCCAGATTCAGCTGCTGCTAAAACTGACCAGCGGCTGAATTTGGGAAGCCCGAGGCAGAGCTGCCCCTGATCAGTTTCAGCAGCGGCTGGCTTGTGGGCACCTGG